TCTCTATCAGGCATTCTTAAAACTACAGTCCCCACCTGGGGAAGTGAAGAAACAGATTGACAGAGCCAGAAGGGTACCCAGGAGTCACTCACTACAGGACAGGCCCAACAAGGAAAGTAACAGAATGCCACTAGCCATCACCTACAGCCCCCAACTAAAACCTCTCCAGCGGATCATCAAGGATCTAAAACCTATCCTGAAGGACGATCCCTCACTCTCACAGACCTTGGGGAGACAGGCCAGTCCTCGCTTACAGACGGGACCCACCCCCCAACCTGAAGCAAATACTCACCAGCAACTACACACCACACAACAGAAACACTAACCCAGGAACCAACCCCTGCAACAAACCCCATTGCCAACTCTGTCTGCATATCTATTCAAGGGACGCCATCATAGGACCTAAATACAGCAGCCACACCATCAAGGGCTCGTTCACCTGCACATCTACCAATGTGATATATGCCAGCAAATGCCCCTCTGACATTTACAATGGCCAAACTGGACAGTGTCTACGCAAAAGAATAAATGGACACAAATCAGACATCAAGAATAGTAACATTCAAAGACCAGTAGGAGAGCACTTCCATCTCCCTGGACACTCAATAACAGACTTAAAAGTCACCATTCTTCAACAAAAAAACCCTTCAAAAACAGACTTCAACGAGAAACTGCAGAACTGGAATTAATTTGCAAACTTGACACCATCAAATTAGGTCTGAATAAAGACTGGGAGTGTCTGGGTCACTACAAAAAATAATTTTCCCTCTGTTGATATTCACACCTTCTTGTCAACTGCTGGGAATGGGCCACATCCACTTTGATTGAATTGGCCTCGTTAGCACTACAAAAAGTAATTTTCCCTTTGTTGATATTCACCCCTTCTTGTCAACTGTTGGGAATGGGCCACATCCACCCTAATTGAATTGGCCTCGTTAGCACAGACCTCCCCCACTTGGTAAGGCAACTCCCATCTTTTCATGTGCTGTATATTTATACCTGCTTACTGTATTTTCCACTTCGTGGATCTGATGAAGTGGGTTATATCCCACAAAAGCTTATGCCCAAATAAATTTATTAATCTCTAAGGTGCCATAAGGACTCCTCATTGTTTTTCATTATAAGAATGTGTTTTCAGTTGCTTATAACTTTGCCATTCTTTAACAGTTTGGGTGAAATTTTCCATGCTGGGTCTCTGCCTCAGATTGTTTTTTTTTTTGGGAGGTGAGGAGGGGGGAGGAAATTTCCATCAAAAGAGTTCAGTCTTTTCCAAGAATGAAACTAGGGAAAAGTATGTTGTTTTGCCCATGTTAAAAATTCTGGTGATGTTGTCTTTGAAAACTTCAAGCATAGCCATGCTTTGGAGTAGAGACTTGAAATTTGACATGGATTGGCCTTATTCTCAGGATTGTGACTTTTGCCATCCTTGTGAAGATCTGCCCAATTTTGGCCAAGTTATAAGTATTGGAAAAATCCCAGTTTGCATGTGTTCAGTAGAGACTTGCTAGAGCTTTAAAGTAAAAAACTTACGAGATTCCATCCGCGCTGAATCTGCTGCAGCCAGGGGCTACAGGGTTCTGAGCAGGACTTTCTATGCAATTACTGCTGTGGGCCAGGCTGAGGCCGGGAACAGAAACTGATAGCAGTGAGATCATCTCTCCTGTGCAGTCACTGATGCCCCACCTGGGCCCAGGCAGCATAGAGGAGGAAGCAGCTGGATTCAAATACACAGGAGACAAGAGCCAGATCCAAGGGTGGAGAGAAGCAGATTGGGACAAGGAGCCTTAGTGGGAGAGGGAAACTAGGGGTGGGAGGGAGAGTGGAATTAGTTGGGCAAGGAGACAGTCTGGGAACCAGTCAGGTGGGGGAAAGGAGGTGAGGGGAAGAGACATGGGATCTGACAATGAGCAAGGATACGAGGATGGGG